GAGGCCCCTCCCCGGAGACAGGCATCAGTCCCGCACCCACAGTTGCGGGGGTCTTTCTCTGGCGCTTGGAAGGGCCCAGCTGGCTGGGCGCAGCCGGAAGGGCCCCCCCCCCCCCCCCCTTCCCCCCCGCTGCCTCCTTTCCCTCCCCCTTCCCCCCCGCTCACCCCCGCCCCGCCTTCACGCAAAGGCAACCTTCTTTGTCCGCGAGGCGGCCAGCCCGGAGGCCGCGTGACGCATCGAGAGGCGGACGGCGCGGCGTCGGGCCGCATCGGCCGCTCGAGACTCGCCACGCCGTCCTGCATGCCGGACACGTTCTTTTCACAGGCAAGTCCCGATTCGTGGGTTTGTGCGGCTTTTGAGAGGGAGGGCGAGACCGTGTGAGCGCGTGCGCGAGCGGACTTTGCGCGGGCGGCCTGCCGGTCTCTTGTCTCTTGAGCGCTCTGGTCTGCCTCGCCGCCGGTCTCTCGCACTCGCTCACTCGCTCTCGCGACTCGCCGTCTCGAGCCTTTGTGTTCTCTCTCCTCTTCTTGTTTGGTCGTGTACAAGAAAGTACTCGCTTTTGCGGACGGCGAGGTGATTGTGGATCCCCACTCGGCCACACTGGCTGAGTCTCGCCGCTCGTCGGGTCGCCCCCCACGCAGCGGCCCCCTGGCCCACGCAGCGCCCAGGGCAGGAACTAGCGCGCGTTGATAGATAAATGCGTCGCGCTCCTGGAGCTGCGGCGGCTAGTCCGGGCGGTAGCCTGCCTGGGCGATGGAGGAGCGCGGCGTCATGTCGAGGACCCGCTTGCCGCGGTTGTTCGCGACGTCGCGCGCGGACACCATCCGCTGAAGCGCGTTGAAGATGCAGCGCGTCTGGTTGATCTTGTTCTTGGAGCCGTGCACCTTGACGGAGACGTCGGTGATGCCGAAGGCGTTGAGGATCTTCCACATGAGCCACGAGCAGCGCGTGCCTAATTAATTCATCACATCATTAAGGACCTAATTAAGTGATTAATCACCACATGAGCCACGAGCAGCGCGTGCCCGACCCCGCCCGCCGCATCAGGACGACGCACTTGGTCCTTGCCCACGTGTCCTCCATGTCGTGGAAGATGGTGCGGCCTGCTCACAGCTTGGGCGAGTGATCCGGCGACCTCTCCGCAAGCAGCGCGTGGCGTGCGAGAGAGGCGGCCGTCGAAGCGGTCCACGTGCAGCAGCTGCTTGCGCGCCGCCTTGCACGCCTTGACCAGCGCCTCCGTCGCCTCCTCGTCCTTGCCGAGGCCGAAGCCCGCGCTGCCGGCTCCATTCCCAACCACTGCGAGCACAGAGATGGAGCGCTTCTTGCCCCCGCTCGTCACCTGCGACACGCCGTGCGCAAGACGGTCGGTGTCTCGCAGCTGTCTCGCAGCTGTCTCGGGAGTGGCTCGGGAGTGGCTCGGAGGTGCTCGGAGGTGCTCGGAGGTGCTGGGAGCTGTCTCGGGAGTGGCTCGGAGGTGCTCGGAGGTGCTCGGAGGAGTCCAGGAGGTGTCTCGGAGGAGTCCAGGAGGTGTCTCGGAGGCGTCTCAAGGGGGTGCGCCGCCTTTGACACGGCCCTCGTGTGCAAGACGTGCGCGAAGAAGCCGCCGGGAGGGAGGGCGCCCGCCTCGCGCAGCCGGACCGAGTCGAGGAAGGAGGAGACCATCGACAGGTCCCCCGACCCGCCGTCGTCGTCCAGACCAAGCTCGTCCAGGTCCAACGCCTCCCTCCGCCCCTCGGAGCCGGGAGGCGGGTACCGCGCCGGCGCGGCCAGTGCGGCGGGGCCGAGCTCGTCGAGCAGGCCAAGGAGCTCGGCGCGTCGTCGAGCGGAGACGGCGTCGTCGCTCAGCAGCGCCTCACGCACCGCCTCGAGCTCCTCGGCCGCCTGGCCCCGCCCGCCGTCGCGCCCCTCACCACCGATTGCCTCGCCCACCGACTCGAGCGAGTCGTCCAGAAGGAACTCGAGGTCGTCGTAGTCGTCGCGAGGGTCCTGCGCAGCCGCCTGCGCCACCGATCGGAGGGGCGATCTCCGCCGTTCGGACCGTTTGTCGCCCTCAAACGCCACCTCCTGCGCAAACTCCTGCTGCGTCGCCGCGTTCCACTTGCTCCAGAACCCCCCACGCCGGTCGCCCTTGCCCGCCCCGGACGGCCCGGCCATGCCGCGCGTCGGCGCGCTGGCGACGAGCGCGCGAGCACGCGCCAGTCGGCTCGCCGTGCTCCTAAACACTTGCGACATAGCAAAATAAGAATACGCACGCGAGCGTTACGGAAAAGCATGCGCGACGCTGCCTCTTTGCGCCGCTCGCTCGCGGCTGCGGGAGACATGGCCGCCGATGCGGCTCGCACTCGCTCGGCGGGCCTCCGTCCCACAGCTGCCCGGGCGTGCCACGGGTCTGCCTGGCGCTGCGCTGCTCGCACGCTGCGCTGCACAAAGCTGCGATAACAAGGGGAGGCTCCTGAGCCTGAGCGTTGAGCAGTGCAGCTGCGGGCGCTCGTGGGCGGCTGTGCAGTGGTGAGAGTGCCTGATTGGAGGCGAGCTGGTGCTGCGCCAGGGTGCGCAGCATGCGCTCTTGCTCTGTGCTGAGGCATGCTGGCTGGCGCCCAACACAATGCCCTGGATGCATTGCTCCACGCCGTGCTGGCTGGTGCAGTACTGCCAGTGCGCCGACTGGCGCGCAGGGTGCGCGTCGCCGCGCGTGGCACGGGTGGCTCGAGAGGCGCGGCTGTCGTTCAACCCCGCGGCGCATGTGCGCCGCGGAAGCTGCTCGACAGGCTGCGGGCATCGCTGCGGCAGAAAGCGCCCGCCCTCTGCTTTGCTTTCGCCCGCGTTTTACGACAACTTTCGGTTTATCATAGCCGCCGAACTTTACCTCGCTGTTTCTTTATAGGCGTCTCGCAGCTGCGTCTTCCTCAACCAACCAACCCTCATTACCGACTGTCGGTCGTTGGGGACACGTGACTCCTGGAAAGGGCAGTGTCTCCACCCGGGAGTCGGAGATTCCAAACCCTCCCTTTCCCCCTCTCTCTCTCCCTCCCATCCTACCCCTCTCTCTCTCTCACTCTCATTCTTTCTCTCCTTCTCTCTCATTCCCCCCCCCTCCCCCCTCTTCGTCTCTGCCGCCTCCGTGCCAACCCCCGCCGCCTCCTCGCCCGCCTTCGCCTCCTCCGCCATCCCCTTCCTTGCTCCCCTGCTACCCCCTCCCTCCCCCCCCACTCCCCCCCCTCCCTCGCCACCTCCTCCCTCGCCGTCTCCTCCCTCACCACCCCCTCCCTCGCCTCCCCCTCCCTCGCCACCTCCTCCCTCGCCGTTTCTCCCCTTGCCGCCTCCTCCCTCGCCGCCTCCTCCTTCGCCGCCTCATCCCTTGCCGTCCTCGCCGCCCCCTCCCTCGCCATCTCCTCCCTCGCCGCTTCCTCCCTTGCCGCCTCATCCCTTGCCGCCTCCTCCCTCACCGCCTCCCCTCTCGCCTCCTTCCCCGCCGCCTCCTCCCTCGCTTCCTCCTCTCTCGTCTCCTCCCCCCTCGCCGCCTCCTCTACCTCCTCCTCCCTCGCCGCCTCCTCCCTCGCCGCCGCCTCCCTCGCCGCCGCCTCCCTCGCCGCCTTTCCCCTTGCCGCCTCCTCCCTTGCCACCTCCTCCCTCGCCGCCCCCCCCCTCACCGCCTCCTCCCTCGCTTCCTCCTCGCTCGCCGCCTCCTCCCTTGCCGTCTCCTCCCTCGCCGCCTCCTCCTCCCTCGCCTTCGCCTCCTCCCTCGCCGCCTCAAGTAAGCTGCTCGCCGTGGAAGCTGCTCGACAGGTGCCTCGCAGCTGCGTATTCTCGTATTATCTTCGAGTAAGGCGTCTCGCAGCTGCGTATTCTTGTATTCTCGTCGATTAGTGTAGGTACTGCGTGGGGGCGGTACGTATTCCCGTATCACGTATCACTAGCTCCGAGTAGAGGGGGCGTCCTTGCAGTTAAGGGGAAACCTGGTACGCGGGGCTAACCCTCGGAGAATATTCTTTAGCTCCGAGTAGAGGGGGCGTTCCGCAGCTAGGGGGACCCACAGCGCGAGGGAAAAATTCCGCCGCTGGGGGAAACCCGGAGCGCAGAACTAACCCTCGGAGACCCGTGTTATGCTCCAAGTGCTCCAAGTGCCCTTTCCCTGCGAACGCGCACCCCCCCTAGCTAGGGGTCAGGGCTCTCTAGCCCGTAGCCCGATGCCGATCATCCGGCTCGCTGGGTGCGCTTCTCAGCTCCCCGGCCCTGGATGTGAGGTTGCCGACTGCACTCCAAGTGCTCCAAGTATTATAGCTCCGAGTAGAGGGGGCGTTCTGCTGCTAGGGGAAACCCGGAGCGCGGTACTATCCCTCGGAGAGTATTCTTTAGCTCCGAGTAGAGGGGGCGTTCCGCAGCTAGGGGGACCCACAGCGCGAGGGAAAAATTCCGCCGCTGGGGGAAACCCGGAGCGCAGAACCAACCCTCGGAGACCCGTGTTATGGCCCTGCGACCGCGCACCTCCCCACGGTCGAGGATGAGGGTGCGTTCTGCAGTTAAGGGGTAACCCGGTACACGGAACTATCCCTCGGAGACGTGTTATGGCCCTGCGACCGCGCACCCCCCCCTTACTTAGCTCTTAGGGGTCAGGGCTCTCTAGCCCGTAGCCCGATCCCGATCATCCGGCCCGCTGGGTGCGCTTCTGAGCTCCCCGGCCCTGGATGTGAGGCTACCAACTGCACTCCAAGTGCTCCAAGTGCGTCAGCGGAGCTGGGAATAGGACCGCCGCAAGCGGCGTGGCGTGGAGCGGTTGGGCATCCCTCCGGGGGCCCCTCTGCGCCGGGGAGGCGTTGTTGGAGGCTAGGAAGCAAGCGTCCGTCGCCCTTTTCAAACTCGGGGCCCACTCCGCTACGCCTACGCTCCGACCCGAATTTGGAGGGCCTAAAAGTTTAAGGTGTTGCTGCGCAAAAGGGGTCGGACACAGGGCGCAGGCCAGCTCATGCTAAGAGCTAGAAGGGGAGCTAGAGAGAACGACTACCCTGTCCCGTTATTGCGTACACCAAACACCACAAAAGCTCTCTCTCTCCTGTCCTCACTCAGAGGGGGGTCACAACTACCGAGTCCCGCGACTAGCTGCCACGTTGCCGACCGAGAGCGGATCTCCTCCTGCTCCGCAAGGAGGGTGGCCAAGGCTAAAGTCTTGCCGGAGCCGCCGGGCGTGTTGACGACTTGGAGAAGGCCGCCCTTGTACTTGTACTCTTGTAGAGATGCTCGAGGGGGTGCTTTGTGGGGCGGTGCGCAGCCAGGTCAGCAGTGAGGGGAGGCGCACCCTCACTCTCCTCGGTTGCAGAGCTCGTTGGAGGCTGCGTCACGACGGGAGGGTCGCGACAGCAGTCCTCGGGCGAGCCGACGCGCATGTCCAACCAGCGCTGGGACTCGTTGTGACGGCAGACGCCGGCTGCCTCTCCAACCGCTTCTGCAGCGTCCTTCTTTGCCCGTGCATGGGCTCGATCCGATTCCGCAGCGTGTCGTCCCCAGCGGCGGTACTGCGCGGGAGGCGGCCGCGGGCACGCTGGGCTCGATCAGCTTTCCCTAGCACGGATTTGGCGGACGTTCCTGGCTTCAATTTTACGAATGTCTTGTAGCCCGATACCGATCATCCGGCTCGCTGGGTGCGCTTCTCAGCTCCCCGGCCCTGGATGTGAGGTTAATGACTGCACTCCAAGTGCTCCAAGTCTTTCTTGGCACCAGCTGAAGTCTTGCCCCCGTCCACGGACCACGGCCGACATCACATGGTTTCTGCACGGTATTCGGATTTTGCTATTTGTTCGTGTGGGGGTATATTGCAGATGTGTCAATGGTACCGCGTCTGCGACGCGGGCGCCTTGCGTGCATGCAGAGCCCTTAGCCACCCTTTATATCTTGCGCGGTCATTTTAGCTGCGCTAATGGATGTGAGGCTAATGAATGCACTCCAAGTGCTCCAAGTGCTAATTGGCGCACTCCCATCCCTCCCACTGAGATGAGACCGCCAGTGGAGTTGGGATTCCACCGTGCACCGCGCTGCGAGCCTGTCGTGTCCCTTGTCAGGAGCAGGAGAGCCCACCTGTCCCCCTGATCGTCCTCCAAAATCCTGCTCGTGCAGGTGGGGACCCTGTCCTCCTCCCCTATCCCTCGTTTGGGTTGTCTGTTTTCTTTCTTCCCCCCCCCCCCCATCCCTCCCTTGGGTTCGGTTTTCTTTCTTTCTTTTTTGCACACTGGCGACTCGCCGCTTTCCTCCCGCTGTGATTCTGTGTGAGCTCTGTGTCTTGATTTGCCAACAATACACCTAAGACTGGCACAAACAGAATGTTGCGGTGGTGCTGGCACTCGTGACTGCTGATGACAGACCCCAACCCCCTCTCTCTGAGCTATACCGCAGCGGCGAAGAACCAGTGACTCAGCAGAAGCCGCCAAGGCTCCAGGTGGTCACTGCTTTGCAAGGCACTTGCCGACTCGGCGATAGCTCAAGTTTATCAGATTCCGAGAGCGGCGGCCGTGAATCGGGACGGGCTGTGTTTCCAAAGAGTCGTGTCGCCTTCTTGCGGGCTCGCTCTTGATCAATGAGTGCAACGGAGCGCTCCATAGCTCCCACGCGACCGGGAGGAACCCCGTGCCTCCTCGAGTTGCGTGCCGCGGAACGGAGCTGCATCTCCGCCCGCAGCCTGTGCGCTTTGGCCGCCTCATGTGGTTCGCCCCCGGTCGTCACGTTCCACCGCGCCTTATCCCTCAGCGCTGGATGAAGTGGGGCCGATCGTAAAATGCTCAACGCCGGCGCTGAGCGTGCGATGTGCCGCTCCGTGTACTGCAGTTTGCTTCCCCGGCCAATATATTGGGAGTCGGAGTTGCCATCACTTGCCTCCAGCACTTCAGCACGGTGGTCGTAGTCGAACCGTTTGAGCGAGTGATACTTGGACAATTGGTGCATCATCGGTCGCTCTGGAAACGGAACAAAGTTTTCTGGCAGTGTGGAGGAGTTCCAGGAGGGCTTGGAGAAGCCAAGGAGGTCGGGACGCTTGGACGCTTTGACCTCTGCTTTGGCTCGAGCGGCTTCAAGCGGCATCGCGTGCTCGTCGAATACAGTCTTGTCTAATGCAAAGTCTATTTTAGCCCGCCAGCCGCGGCTGCGCTCGAAGCCGGCGCCCATTGCGCGCGGCGCCCGTGAGTGGTCGTCCGTGTGAGACACTGGTGCTGGGTGGGTGAGAGATCAAGCCTCAAAGGCGTAACGGTTGCTCTCTTAGGGGACCCTAGGGTTCTGAGGGCCGGATTTTCTGGCAGCGTCGGCGCCGGCCTGCTCCCACGCTGGCCACGCATCATGCTGCGCTTCGCGAGCAATCGCGTAACGGGAGGCTCGCTGGCTTTTTGTGGCTTTTTGGGCGGCTTTTTTGGATTCTCCCGCCTTCTTAGATCTTACTACTCTCTTGGATTTTTTTAAGACCTTTTAAGAAACGAGGAGGTTTGGGGGCTTAACTTGCCATTTAAGAGATTGCAGGCACGGGGGGTCCCTCTTTTAAGACCGTTTAAGAAAATCGGCCTCACCGGCATGCGTCGCTGGGTTCCGCGCCGTTTTCTCCAATTGTCCAATACTGCCGTTATTGGGCACAAACCCGCCTCTGAAGACACATCTGTAAGTCTGGTGCACTGGCAGGAGCCATACTCGCATAGGGGACGCGTGCTAGCTGACTGTAGCCAGCTTCCCGGCCTACGGCGTCTACCGCATACGGCTCTACCGGGAGCCTCCCGGACCATCGACCTCGGCCGATGACACGGGAGCTCTCCCGCACCGTTTAAGCGTTTAAGACCGTTTAAGGATTCGGCGGCCCAGGCAGCCTTAAAATGGGCCTAGGCCCGTTTTAAGCCGTTTAAGCCGCAGGCGCGCCAGGGCTTCCTCGCGACGGGTTGGCCGGACGGTGCCGCGCCGCCGCGTGCGGGGCCACGAATGGTTGGGTAGTAGGGCTAGAGGGTCGCTCTACACTTAGCCTCTGCAGCGAGCGAGCGCTCAACTTAGCCCCCGCACGGAGCCGGGCTCAGACTTAGACCCTCATGGTCGGGGGCCATGAACTTAGACGACATAAGGCCAATATCCTACAACATAAGGCCAACTCCGGGTAAAACCCGGGTATACCTGAAAAGCTTTCAGGTTTACGAAAAATACCTGGACGCGTCCCGACCAACGTTTGCCGCGCACGACGCCATATCGCCTTCTCCCAGGGCCAGTGCGCCACTTGCGGCGCGCAACGCCTGCTCAAGTACGCGCAACGTACCATATGCTGCCGCTATGCGTGCCTTAAGGCGGCTGCGGCGAAGCGGCGGGCGCGGCATGCCGATGGCAGTGCGGACGATGCGGTTGCGATGTGTTCTGCTTCAAGATCGTGGCGGTGCTTGGCATGCACTTCTGCGATCCCAATCAGCTCATCGCAACGAAGCAGCGCAACAAGCTGGCTGCTGCCAACAAGGCCCTATGCTACCTCACGCGCGGATCGTTCAAAGAGGACCAGCATACACAGGCTTCTCTGACACGCGTTTGTTTGAGCTTGAGGCTATTTGTGAGAACTGTTTGGCGAGAAGTCGCCGAAGATTGCGCTCAAGAAGCAGCAACGAGAATCGGAAGAGGAGGATGCTGAGGCGGCGATTGCTGAGCATGAGAAGGATCGATCGCCCGCCGCAGGCGAAGAAAATTTGGGGGCTGCGCCGTATCGTTGTACGTTGATCACGGTGGGAGCCTCTTGGCCCCAGGCCGTCCACGGCCGACTTAGCCGATGTAAGAGGCTCCCGCTGATCTTAGACCGCTCAAGCACTCCAGCGTGGCTAGCCACACTTAGACCCGTTAGGCCTCCAGGCTCAGAACTTAGACTACTACCCAACCAGTGGGCCACGCACAGTGCCTGGAACCTGCAACCTGGCCATCGCCCACATCGAGCTGTGAGGGGCGGCAGTCGAGGATGCGCACTACTCCTTTGCTCCCCACCCTTTTAAGCCTAGGGGTCCCCTAAGGTTGCTCTTACACTTTTCTTTCGCCCACTCCGCAATGTAGAACCCATCTCCCTCATGCCATCTCTCTCCCCCTGCTGCTCTCGACGGGTAGCCCGCGTGTACAAGACCTTGCACAGCTCTCTCGAGTCTCGTCGCTCTCTCTCCCCCGCCCCACCAATTTCGGGGGGCGGGGCACCAATAGGTAGTCTGTGATTGCTGATGCCGCGATATTCGGACTCGTTCGCGAGCGCGTCGGTTAACTTGACGGAAGAGCATCCTCACCGCTCCTCGCTGCTCGTGCATTGCATCCGGCGGCACTCGCCACCATCACGAGGTGCGGAGGATCTGCGCCACGACGCCGGGCCGCGCGTCGAGCGCGCGCTCGAGGTGCTGCATCGTCTCCATCGCCTCGTACTCCGAGCCGGGCGCGAGGGCGTCGCAGCAGGCGGACAACACCGACGCGTCGATCTCGGTGTTGGAGTAGAGCTCGCCGACGGCGGAGGGCTCGAGCTGCAGACAGGCGCGCAGCTCGGCAGAGCGCTCGAGCTCCGCCTTGGCGTCGCTGCTCCGCGAGCCGAAGCCCTCAGTCAGGTCGAGGAGCCAGCCGTAGTACGCGTCGAGGGCGAGCTTCCGCGCGAGCGGCTCCGGCAGGCCCAGCTGGGTGGCGGCGGCGTCGAGCGCCTTGCGCTCGCTCTCTCCGTACTGCGCCGAGGCGAGCAGCCGGTCGAGCCTGTGGGGAAGGGGGGGGGGGGGGGGGCACCGCTCTAGAGCACGCGCGTGCGCCCCTCTCCTCCGCACTCGGCCCCTCTCCCACTGTGTGGCTGCTCCGCTGCGGAATCTGCTGCCGAGATGTGGGGAGATGTGGGGAGATGTGGGTGCTCCGACTGTGGAGTCTGCTGCAGCCTACTCGAGTCTGCGGCGTGCCTTTGTCTCGTCGCTAAGCTCCGCGTCCGCCGCGCCATCGTCGCCCGGGGAAGGCAGGCACTTCGCCAGCTGCGAGTCGTACACGTCCTAAGAGGAAAGCACCCGGCGAGCTCTCACCCCATCCTGTCGTGCTACACACACCGTCCGATGCGGTCTCGCCTGGTGCACCGCCTGCGCCGCCTCCTCCGGCAGGTTGAGCGCCTTCCGCACCTGCACTCGCCACAAAAGGAGTGTCCGCCGCAGGGAGGGAGGGCTGCGGCTAGGGGGGAGGGCTTGCGCGCCGTCTGCAGCACCAGCGGCGTCTGCGTGCGGTTGTACCGACCGACCGCCTGCAGGCAAGGGGGCGGGGGAGGCTACGGGGGAGGGGACCCGGCCGGGGTGCGGCCCCACTTTGCCGGTTGGCCTGCGCGAGAGCCGCACGATAGAGCGGCGCCGACACCTCGTTGACGGCTCCGCGCGCGCGCGCCTGCCGCGAGGCGGTAAGAGGGGCGGGGTGGGGCAGAGGGGCGGGGCGGGGCAGAGGGGCGGGGTGTGCGCCAGGGCATTGCGATGGGGAAAGAGTTGAGGCGTGCCCAAAAGGGGGGGGGGGGGGGGGTGGCGCCCGGGCCGGGTCCTGGCGGGGGGTCGGGGCTGGTCGCCCCGCCCTCGCTTGGTCCGAGGGCGGAGGAGAGCTCCTCCCTACTGCTCCTCCTCCCCCTCCTCCTCCTCCTCCTCCTCCTCCTCCTCCTCCCTACTGCTCCTCCCTACTGCTCCCCTCCCTACTACTACTGCTGCTGCTGCTGCTGCTGCTGCTGCTGCTGCTGCTGCTGCTGCTGCTGCTGCTGCTGCTGCTGCTGCTGCTGCTGCTGCTGCTACACGTCCACCTCGCTCAGTCCGAGCGTGGAGAGCAGCTCGTCTGCTGAGGCAGAGCCGCGCGAGGTCGAGAAGAGCGTCATCGACGCCCAGAGCAGCTTGGAGAGCGGCTCGGGAAGCTCGGCGCCCGGCGCCTCCTCGCCGGCGAGAGAGGCTGCCTCGGCGACGTGGATCGACTCGGTCGCCTTCCAGCCGAGCCACGCTGATTAGGGCCCACTCCTCTCTCCCCTCATCAAGGTGGATACGACGGACTCACCTTCCAGCCGAGCCCGAGCCCGCGCCGCAGCGCCGCGAGCTTCGAGACGTCGGAAGGCTCCACCTTGGCGGCCGAGCAGGCAGTCGGCGGGCAGGTGAGGCAGCCAGGGGGGCGGGGGCGGGGGAGGCAACGGCTGAGGGAGGGGAGGCGAGGCGGAGGGAGGAGAGGCGAGGCGGGAGTGGCTGCGGCGGCGCCTCCTCGTCGTCGACGAGTGCGCCGAGGAAGCGCGCATATACGCCGCGCAGCTGCTCCTCGAAGAGCTCGGGCGGGACGTCGTACCGCTCCGCCAGCCGGGCGACCTTACGACACAACATGCAGCAATATCATATCCTTATTCATCTAATGGAATGTAGTACCGCTCCGCCCGCCAGGCGACCTTTGCGCGGTCGAGCCGCTTGAGGCCGTCCTTGTTCACCATCTCGGCGATCGCCGCGGGGACGACGGCGCGCCGCCGGTTGCGCAGCTTCTCCCCAACCTGCTTGCCCGCCGCGCCGGCCACACCCACGGTCACCGCCGCCGGAATCCGCGTGGGCGTGACGAACCAGGCAAAGATGGAGGACAGGACGACGAGGGCGTTGGACGACGTGCCGACCGCCACGGTGGGCAGCCGCTTCAGCAGCCGATCGAAGCGGTCGAGCTCGCCCTCCATCTCGCCAAATACCTCCTCCTCGACGCTAGGCTCCGGCGGCGGACCGCCCTCCAGCATCACTGGCAGCCGTCCTCGAGCTGCGCTGCTGCCAAGGCCCACGCCACGCTGCCGCACGTCGACCACGGCGACGGAGGCAACTCGCGCGTGGCGGTGCGCGGGCCGCGGTGCGCGCACGCGCGCGACGTGGCTCACCGCGACGGCCGGCGTCGCAGCGAGCAGGAGCGCCACGCTCACGCGCTTCATCTCGTCCCTCGGAAAAGAATCTTTAAACATTCCACCATTTGCTCTACACGTCCTGCCACCCACGTGAGCCTTTTGGCCGCCTCTGTCAGTGTGCCCGTGGTAGTGAGAGACTGCTGGTGAGAAGCCGGAGGAAGGTCGCTAGTCGAGAGAGATCGCCAGTGGAATAGGGAGTCCACCGTGCTGCGAGCCTGTCGCTGTCCCTTGTCAGGAGCAGGAGAACTAGGAGAGCGCAACCAGTAGGAGGCCCGCGCCTGCCCCCGTGCCGCCGGGTGCAACCTGTCCTATACGAGAGAGGAATCCCTGGGACCCTGTCGTGTGGGTGAACCCTGCCCCCAGCCCCCCTCCGTGTCGCGATGCGCTCCCCGCTCCCGTTCCCCTGTGTCCCTGATCGTCCTTCAAAGATCCTGCTCGTGCAGGTGGGGACCCTGTCCCTCTCCCACCCCTCGTTTGGCGTGCCCGTTTTATTTATTTATTTATTTACACGTCCTCCGCGCACCGCGCTGCGAGCCTGTCGTGTCCCTTGTCAGGAGCAGGAGAGCCCCACCTGTCCCCCTGATCGTCCTTCCAAAATCCTGCTCGTGCAGGTGGGGACCCTGTCCTCGTCCCATCCCTCGTTTGGCGTGTCTGTTTTCTTTCTTTCTTTCTACACGTCCTCCCCCCTCCCTCCGCACGCGTGCCTCCATCCCTCTCGCCCGTGCTCCCTCTCGCACTGTCGACAACCCCCCCCCCCCCACACACACACACCCCCCCTGATTGCAGCATCCTGAGTTCCTGACACTCCTACACTCATCTACACGATTCCGTTCGCCCGTGCATCGTGGGACATTCACAGCCGGCTGTTAACAACGCTGCAACGTCGTGCTCGGGTTGGCGTTACAGGCGCTCGAGCCGCAGGCGGAGGTGCACGTGCCGCAGGCCTGCGCTGTGCCAGCTGACGTCTCGGAGAAGGGCTGCCTCTTCCCGACTGCGCTGAACTTCGACCCGACCGCGAAGCAGTCGGACCGCTGCACGTACCCGACGATCGGCTGCATGGACCCGACGGCGTACAACTACAACTCCGAGGCGACGGTGGCGGGCACCTGCGTCTCCAAGGTGTCGGGCTGCAGCATCGACCAGGGCCTCTACGATGGCGCTCCGTCGGGCACTGCCACGTTCAATGGCTACGGCGGCAAGTTCGCTCCGGGGCTTTCGCTGCCACTCCTGCCGTATGGCATTTGGGGGAGCACGTACTCGACCAACGAGACGACCAAGTTCCCGTACAACGCCGCTGCGACCGATCCGGCCGACTGCGTGGTTGCGATCGAGGGCTGCATGGACTCCCTCGCCGTCAACTACGACTCGAAGGCGACTGTCGACACCGGCAACTGGTGCAAGTACCCGATCATCGGCTGCATGGACCACCTCTACTCGGCCAACTTCGAGCCGACCGCGACCGTCAACTCGAACTGCACCGGCAAGGTGTTTGGCTGCACCGACTCGTACGCCGTCAACTATAACCCGGCCGCCACCGGCAACGACGGGACGTGTAAGAGCACGGTGATTGGCTGCGGCCACCCCATGGCCGTCAACTACGACTCCATGGTGACCAGCCACGATTCCAGCACCTGCACGTGGTACAGCTCGCCACCGCCCGCCCCGCCTCTGCCGCCGGGCATCACCACGACGGCGTACAACGAGGTCGAGTACGAGGCGACGTTTAACATGACCATCGAGGAGGTGACCGATATCGAGTCGGACGGCACGACCAAGGCCCAAAAGTGGTGCGCCGAGGTTATCGCCGATACCAGCGCGTCGGACAGGTCCAGCTGCGAGACCTACGCGGGGAGCGTGGTCATCAAGGTGACCCTACTGTTCACCAGCCTGACCGCCGCCAGCACGGCCAGCACGAACCTCAACGACCCGGATTGGGTCCAATCAAACCTCAACACGAATAACTACATGGGTGCAACCCTCCAGGACATCCTGGAGAGCGCCTCTGCAAGCTCAGGCTCCAATGTAATCACTCTTGCCACCAGCGGCGGCTACAACTACCCGCCGGCCCCGCCGCCCTACGAGGGGCCTCCGATGGGCGGCATTATCGGCGGCGTGCTCGGCGGCATCGCCGCCCTCGTCTTCATCGCCGGCTTGGTATACTTTATGCGCAAACGGAAGACCGGTTCGGGCAAGGCGTCCGTCACGCCTGGCGAGTGAGCTGGGAAAAGTCTCTGTGATGACTTGAGGAGTGGGTCTTGGGACGCATGAGAGGGGAGAGGGCGGGGAGGGAGAGCCAGAGGTGTGGCGCAGGGTGTATGTATGCGCCGGTCGTCACGCACACACTTGACTGTGTATGTGTTCATTGGGATCGACGTGCCAAGACAGGGGTTGTTTGTGATAGAGCTAGAGACACCGCGCAGACCCTATACCTTGAGTATATGGAATGGCATGTGTGTGTGTGCTTTCTGGGGACCACGGGACCACACTCCGATCACCAAAGGCTTTTTCGTGTGTTTTTGTGCCCCCCCCCCCCCCCCAACCCCACGACGCGACACGCGGTAT